TATGACATAGTTTCTGCATTATAGAATAGTATCTTCAAAGATACGATAATGGTAAAGAAGAGATTAAATACTGTTTTAATCAATAACACAATATGCCATCGTACTTTCAAATTATATGTAAACAGTTTAATGTTTAAACATAAATCATTCAAATAAGTCAATATAACAACTAGTGATATCAGAGTGACTTATTTATCCTAAATAAAAGGAACAAATGTGCATGCTATTTTGATATTAAGGTTTCAAATGACTTTATCAATAGCGTAGTAGTAATAGTAATTATATTGACGTATGTGGCATGAGAGTAGTATATCGAATTTGAGTAAAAAAAAAGCAGTGACAACAACGGAAGAAATCGCACGAAGTCAAGATGATGCGAAACCGGTTGAGAAAAGGTAAATATCCCATTTGATCAATGCATCATCCGCCATTGGTATCCAAAATTTTGCGATTGAAAAAAAACGATACAATTGGTGAATTAACCGATTGGTTATCATAAGATTTAAGACATTGGAAAACATTTCTACTGTTACAACGATCGAGTATATTCACTCAATGTTGATCATTCAGGCACAATATATAGTTTCAATTGACGCAATTTAATCAAGAATTAGTTACCCGACTGTCGTTGGCATGTTGGAGGACAAAGTGCACAAAGTCCTTCATAAATCAGCTTAATTCAACTTGTCATCGGAATACTGCCCGCTAGATTTTAGAAATTGCTGTTTTCTGAACAAATTTAATGTATTTAAGCCTTGCATAATTTATCACTACGATCTAAAAAGATTCTTTTGTCAGACTTGCTTGTGTCACACGTTTCAATTTGGTTAGTCAAATACGAAAAACAACCAGTTGCACTTCCGGCATTGCGGCAAAGGGAAATAACTTCAAATCAGATTACGTCATATCAAAAACTATCATTAACGTTAATAGTGTCGACCATCACTTACTAATGTTCCCATTTGTCTCTTCAATTACAAGTTTGCAGGAATATTATATTTCGAAGATTGATCAAAAGTTTCACGGAATCTCCAGAAAAAAAGAGTAAATTGGTTTTAAAAAAACAAAGAGGCGGAAGACTGAAAATAGATGATGACAAGCAAACGAGATGATTTATTCTCATCTTTGATAATATAGGTAATCGGATATCGGAATCTAACCATTATGTCTAGTTTCGTTTTAAACATCAATTCAAATTGCGTAATAAAATCAAAAATAAACTTTCGACGCAACGTTTTTCATGTTTTTAACTTTTAATTACATCATCATATACTTTACACTTGTAAAAGAAATTCAATTCTAACGCATCCAAATCTTTACTAATTTATCGTCTTAGATTTTGAGATAAGCCAGTCCATGGAATAAAAGAGGAAACCACTGAAATAAACTAAATAACAATAAGATTTTAAAAACATATATTTTTATTTTATCCCCGACCTCGTCCCAACTTCTCAATCGCCCAAACTTAAAGTTCATCACTTATACACAAGAGTTTAGTCTCGCCACTTTAAGACTAGTTTAATTTCTAGTGATAAATTCAGTTCCAGGATGTATTAAAGTTATATTGTTGAGATACGTTTTAAAAAGAGGCGAAAGATACCAAATGGACATTCAAACTCATATGTCGAAAAAAAAAATGACAATGCCATAGCAAAAAACGAAAAATTGTAAAAAGACAAACAGCAGTACTGTAAATCCAGAATTTATTGCGAGGTTTTTATCAATGCAAACAAGACGACTGTCAGAGTAAGTACCGCAATAATAGGAGATTCTGATATCGGATATATATATCTGTATGAAGCTTTTCCTGAAATCGAAATAATAGGAGATTCTGATATCGGATATATATCTGTATGAAGTTTTTCCTGGCATCGCATTTTAGTTCAGTCTTAAACAATTGCAATAATAAATGCACGTTATAATTTCTGAATTTACAGTATACAAAACACATCATAAAAACACAAAGACTAAGTAAGCAACACTAACCCAACCAAAACCCGTGGTGATCTCGTGTGCTTTGGAAGGGGTAGATCCTGCTCCACATGTGGTACTAGCGTCAACTTCTAATTTATTAGAATCCCTGTTTTATTCTTGTTTTTTTTATTTGGTTTGCGAGTTTTTTAAGAAGGCTTCGGTGCTTAACAAAGAATGCGCCTACTCTGTTTTCTATTGAACATTAGTGTATATAAAAACAAATTCACTGTCTCATAAATGAGGGAGAATATAACACGAGGGAAACCAAAACCCTCCAACCGAAAAACAAAACAAAAATAAGAATAGAAAACGACAAAATGTTTCCAAAATAACCCCACACAAACAGGAGTAATCTTGGGTGCTCCAGAAGGTTCAGCAGTTTTTGTACCAATAGCAACATACATATCTTGAATTGTGTGTAAACCGAATAGCAAAACACCAGCACAATTGGAAAGGAAAACATGATTTTACACATTATTTTTCTCAAAAATTAAAAATATTTGTCACCAGAATGAAGTAATGATATCCATATAAGGGGGTCATGATGGGGGTTCCTCCCCTTTTGTATTCTCTGATCTTTATTTGTATATATAGATATAAGAAGATGAGGTATGAGTGCCAATGAGACAACTCTCCATCCAAGTCACAATTTATAAAAGTAAACCATTATAGGTCAAAGTACGGCTTTCAACACGGAGCCTTGGCTCACACCGCACAGCAAGCTATAAAGGGTCTCAAAAATTACTAGAGTTAAACCATTCAAATAGGAAAACCAACGGTCTATCTATATTAAAAACGAGAAACAAGAAACACTTATGAACCACATCAACAAACGACAACTACTGAACATCAGATTTCTGATTTAGGACAGGTGCAAATAATTGCAGCGGGTTTAAACGTTTTAATGGTAACAAACCTTCACCCTTATCTGATCAATAGTGTAACATCACAACATAGAAAGACACACTATAAAATATCAATTGAAATGGCTTAACTCAATCAAAAGACATATTACACAAGTGAACATAACTGAACGAATACATTTGATCTAAGATATATTCTGTAAATCCCATCCAGATCCTTATAACTTGAATATTTTTCTTTGTAAGCGAAATGTATTGTTTTTGTTTCAAATAAAATTTAGAAAGGAAACGGGGAATGTGTCAAAGAGACAACAACTCGATTAAAGAGTAGAACACAGCCCATTGGGCACCAATGGGTCTTCAACACAGAGAGAAAATATCCCACCCGAAGGAGGACTTCAGCTGGCCCCTAAACAAAAATGTATACTAGTTCAACAAAAATGGACGTCACAATAAACTCCGAAACATATAAATGAACCAAAATTAAAAAAAACAGTCAAGACTAAAAAAGGCCAGAGGTTCCTGGCTTGGGACAAGCGCAAAAATGCGGCGGGGTTAAACATGTTTTGTGATATCTCAATCCTCCTACTTGCCTTGTTTACTTTTTGTGAAAGAGGAATATGTATTGATTCCTGAAGTATTCTAAGGAAAGAGACCAGTACCTGCTTTCATCTACGTCGTTTGAACGTTTGTTTCATTGGCAATCATACCACATCTCCTTATTCTTATATTCGAAAATTGTTATTAATTTTCACATTTTGCTAAAGGATCACATGCTTTGACACTGTACAATGTCGAAAAATCAAGGCTCATTTATTTTTTTTCTTTACTCTACAATTTTTCTTTACTATCTGAAATTTGAAAAGGTTGCCCCTAAGCACCTATAAAATGGACCTCATTGTCCTTAATTCTATCGACTGCTTTCATCTCGAAGGTTTTTTTTTCAAAACTTAAATTAAGTTTAAATTTGTTGTATAAAATCAGCATCACAACATACCAATTGTTACATTTGTTTTGTGTTTTTCCCAAGTGTTTTCTGTTCGTTTCAAGACTTAGTGTTTTCTGTTTTGTAACAAGTGCTTTGTGTTTTGTTACAAGAGTTTTGCTGTGCAAGTGTGTTTGTTCACTTATCAATATACAGATTTAATTTCTTATTTTGACGCTTTGATTAATTTGATGGTTTTCTAATTCAAAGCGGTACAAAAAGAATATATCTTAGGGTCTAATGGGTTTACATAATTCATTTTTAGATGTTAATGGCAAAACAAATATGGACCAGAGAGAAATAGTAAAACAATTAGAAATTGAGTATAATCTGGGTCTTAAAAGTAAATAGACAATATTGGACAAAAATATATAGAAAAGAAAAAATACCTAAGAATCAAAGAATACGGAAATGAGGAATCCCCCCAATCTTTGAAATGAGCATGAAACGGAAATAATTTACAGAGGGATGGCCAATACGGAACACAGAAAAGGGGGTGACTGCCACAATGAACATATATTAAGGTGGATAGCTTCAAATAATTAACCTACTCTTTACAAATGGTGCTGGAAAAGCACCTTTCATGCATGAAGCGTGGCACTATCCAGATACAGGTTATAGTTGCTGGAAAAGCACCTTTGATGCATGGAGCGTGGCACTATCCAGATACAGGTTATAGTTGCTGGAAAAGTACCTTTGATGCATGGAGCGTGGCACTATCCAGATACAGGTTATAGGTGCCGGAAAAGCACCTTTGATGCATGGAGCGTGGCAATATCCAGATACAGGTTATATATAGGTGCTGGAAAAGCACATTTGATGCATGGAGCGTGGCACTATCCAGATACAGGTTATAGGTGCTGGAAAAGCATCTTTGATGCATGGAGTGTGGCACTATCCAGGTACAGGTTATAACGTGCAGTTAGGTTGTGTATTTTCTCTCTAGACAACCAAGAGAGACCCTAATGGATAGAGACGAATAACCCTGTGCCGCAGTGTCTTGGTCCGGTTTTTACAAAAGTAGGTTCCCTTTTGGTATTGTTTTTATTTGTAATGTACGTTGTGAACGGATACACTGAAATTAAAATTGTAACCCCGAACAAATTGTCTGGTTTTGGCAATCTTATCTTCAAGAATATAATTTTTTGAATTCATCTGATTTGAAAACATGTACTTACCCCTGGTAAAAGGACAATCTGTTTCTGGAACCTCCATTGTATCGAGAATACCTTTCGGAATTCGTTTGACTGGTACTTTTTCTACTTTGATCCTATGACAAAACCCATCATTTTGTAATTTTCGACACACTCGGAGTTCTGCATTGTTAAGCGTAAAATAACGTCCACATTTATAAAATACTTGTAATTTTGGAATCTGTCCTTTATCCTTGTAACTTTTAACTTTTCTTTCTAAATCTGTCTCTGTAAGTAAATCTTCGGATTGATTTTCGACGTTGGTGTAGCAAATATTTAAAGGAGAAAGGTACATTGTAGTTTTTTTTTAAATGTATTGTCCTGGTAACCAATAATACTGAATCGTTGGTATAAAAAAAAATGTATAAATTTTATCATTTAACGGGGTTACTTAAACATTTGGTCATTACAGACGTCCAAGGTCCACACAAACATTTCACATTTCCGAATTAGTTCTAATTTTGATCTCTTTACTGTATTCTAATTCTCTATTTATCATCCAGAAAAAAAATAACTATTTTACTTATAGCATAAAAAAGTAAATCAACTAGTATTTAATATGATTCCGCGCCTCGGGTGAAAAATCGGATAATTCGGAAAATATAATCCATTGTTGAGACAAAGCTGCTTTCTCTTTGAAGATGATTTGTGCGTTTAGCTTGGAATACCAAGAAGTAAATCAATAGCTTTGAGCGACTCAATATTCCTGGAAAAACAAAATATAATATTGTTCATATCTATATTATGATATTGCAATAAGCTTTAGGTGAGAGAATGATATATAAGTTATTAGCAGTACTGATGAACATTTACATGCAATGCCTATAGACGTAACTAATCAAATGAATATACATGTAATACTATACATAATTGTTTTTGTTTACACTTATATCTGCGAAAATTGATATTCGCCAATAAAAAAACTTACAATTTCCAAATGATCGCGTCTAAGATTCTGTTGGGACCTAAAGCACGAACAAATATATTTATAGGAACATAGATTACTTTTATCTATATGTTTAAAAGATAAACAATATTTATTAACGTTTGATTCATTGTCAGTAGACTGCAGCTAAAGTGTTCAATACAAATGCTCAGTAGTAAGAGGAAAATAAATAACACTTAAATGTATTTTGTGATTTGTACAACAGATGGTTTCCTTTTTTTACTTTGAAGTTTAGGTCGGGCATTTGATAAAGAGCGAGTCTAATTATCCGACTAATCAGTTCAGAAGTAATTCAAGCAGATTTTTTGTTTAATTATAGATATGACTGCATAATGTATGATGCTACTATTTTTTTATTGACTAATTAAAAAGTATACGGGTTGTTTTTTCAGCAAAACATAAGCAAAGGTCAATGCGACAACAGCCCATCAACAAAAAGACAAAAAAGACTGATGCCAAACATCGGTTACTGTGCAGACTATGCAATGAAGGACTAGCAGTCCACACACAATAGTATATAGACATCATGCTTAGAAACTAGAAACATAGATTACTAGTGGATTATATGCTGCTTAATGTCCAGCGGCAAATATTTCATTATCTACTATTCAAGACGAAAACATGTTAATTAGAAACGAGCATGCTGGGTTGGATATTCAACGTGATAGCTCACGGGATAACTACTGAAACAAAAACAACTTCAAGCTAGTTCTAGATATATATATATATATATATATATATATATATATATAGTGTACCATAGTCTTGAACTCTCATGACTTGTTATAAAATCATAATTGCTACAAAAAAAAATCTATTCAATCTCACTTTCTGATCAATGTGAAACTTATGAAATATCAGAACCGTCTCAACTTACATTCATTTTTTTAACAGGAAGGCATATCGCCCTACTCAGGCACATTATTTTCTCTGTTACTCTAACAGTCTTTGGTCTTATTCCTAATTGCCGCGTGCGTGTCGGAAGAACTATATGTACAAATATTTAGTCTTTTTTGTAACATTTAAAATGTATTTTATGTGTGTACAGACTTACCCTGAATAGAATTATAGGTATGCTATTAAAAACCTTAGTAACAATTACATATAATTGCTACATTCCTTACTGAAACAAAAACTACTTCAAGCTAGTTCTAGATATATACATTGTACCATAGTCTTGAACTCTCATGACTTGCTATAAAGTCCTAATTGCTACAAAAAAATCTATTCAATCTCAGTTTCTGATCAATATGAAACTTATTAAATATCAGAACCGTCTCAACTTACATTCATTTTCTAAATACTGTATAAAGCCTTAATCCATTCAATCTATGATACATGAGAATCATATATACTCAACTACTAAAGAAACGCACATGTTTGGTTAATTTCCTTGAGTAGAAATTTCCATTGCATAACCATTTGAGAAGAGATTGAAATGAGTCAAAATTTTCATACAATACTTGTGTAGTTAGTAATAAGCAACGAGTTTTGTGAAAATGATTCTTTCAATGTGCAGTGTAGACTTCTACAAAAAAAAACATATTCCACCTTATACGAAAAATTTTGTCAACATAGGCGGATCCAGGGGTTGGGGGGCCCCCCTTTCGTGGAAAAAATGACTGTAGCGGGCCCCCTCTTATGGCAGTCAGTGGGACCCTTATAAAAAGTTCTGGATCCGCCACTGGTCAAGTTAAAACTGCATGCAGTCGCGTGTATCATTGCACCTCGAAACAAGGAAATTGACTTTGATATTTTTTTTATTTTTTCATCGATCTTTTGTATCATTAAAACTAATTAATCTCAGACTTTTTATTTTGACTTCTTTGGGTGAAATCTCCTTTGTCACGAAAATTTATCTGTAATCCAGTGGATTAATTGCAATGTTAAGCATGAAATTTACTAGAGTTTAACCAATGTTTCGCAAAAACAAGAAATCATATAACTACTTTATATTGGAAAAAGACTTAGTGGTCAGTTATTTAAGTTGTTGAGTATATAAGTTGCTGACCGTGAAAAGTTCGATATCTTGTAACTGTAATTCAATTAACCAACAAATTGGTTATTGATATGGATAATTACTCGATATTGATAAATCTATACTTTCTTCTTTTGAGGAATATAAAGTAGTTAGAACTGTTAATTAATTTTATTAAATTGAATCTACAACATTGTACAAGGTAGCAATTTTTTTTTTTTATTATACACAGGTGATAAATGAAATTGTAACTTGCATTGATTGAATAACTAGTGTTAATCGACAAGTGGAAGGCGTTCCATTTTACGTGTATAGTTTAATACAGGACAGACTAAAGTGTTCCTATGTAAGGCATCGACAACTATCTTGTGTGGGGAGAGGGCAAGTTTTTTTGTTTAGAAATTGATTTTATTATTATTATTTTTTTGCTAATTTGTCTCAGAACGGAGGTTAAAAAGTTTGTTTCTATAAGCCCAAAAAATAGATAATAATGAATAAGATTAAAACAACAGTGATTAGGTGATTATAAAAGTCGTGATTTCTGTGCGTCTTTTTTAAATTTGTTGTTAAAGATGAGCAAAATGTCTGTCCCGTGACCCCCCCCCCCCCCCCCCCCCCCCCTATTTTTCCATACACACAAGATGAATGATAGGTCACTAAACTAAGTTGATTTAGAAATAACAGTTTACATCCTTTAAATGCCGTAAAAATTCTTTTTCAAAGCAACATAGTATTCTAAAGATGAGGGTATCGTTCTGTTTAGCTTCATTTCTGTATCTTTTTATTGAAAAAACAGCTACTCGCCTCATCTGAACCAAGATGTTCAAATCTTACATAAAGGAAACTTACATTATGAGAAAACCTTCTTGGAAGGTTACCCTCTCTTTTTGTCCCACTGTATAATAGCAATAATTATGCAGTATATATATTTGAACCTAAACTCAAAGGTCACCCCTCTTACAAGGCCAGGACAAGAGAGTGACTGTATATACATACACACAGGAACCAAACAATTTCGACACGCTGTGCAATAAGTCTTAATCGACCACAAAAACATCATTGATATTTCATAATACAAGTTATCACTTTATCGTGAGAGATTAGCCTAGGAAACAACAAACCATCTACTAGTAGTTATATTTCAATTATCCTTTTAATTGTTCTTCTGTCAACTGATATTTAATCCTGATAATTTTTAACCAAAACGTTCGTTATGTTTTCTTTGAATTTCAACATTCCTGAAAACACGTGTATCGCGCATGAATATCATAGTGAAATCGGCTCAGTGTTTACTTAGGCTGCGGAAGCAGTTTCGGAAACATTATAAAAATAGGGAGATGTGGAATGATTGACAATGAGACGACAACTATCAACCAAAGTTGAAATGGATGTAAACAATTATAGGAAACCGTACGGTTTTTAACAATGAGATAAAACCCAAACTTATAGTCGGCTACAAAAGGCCCCGACATGAAAAATATGAAACAATTCAAATATCTATCGAAGTGTAAATCAAGGAAAAATATTCTAACGGACCAATCACATTCAAGTACAGTCAAACCTGCTATAATGGTCACTTCTTTTCAGTGAATAACTGTCTTGTCAAGTAGCCCTCTTCTCCCTATGTAATAATGCATTTTGAATCTCAATTAAAAGGTCACCTCTCTTAAAAGGTCAGTTTTTTTTTCTAGTCCTGAGTTTGACCTTGATATACATGTTCGACTGTATTTGTAGATATGCAAATAATCTAAGAACTATTTACACATAAAATAATGCATTCATGGTGTACGCCTCAACAAGAAAGCAAACTATACGTGTGACATTTTCAATACCTAGTATAACCGATATTTATCTGTTCATTAATGTTAATAATGAAGTAAAGTACAACTACCAATATAAAACATAGTGATACATCACGACATTACTCACGTTTAAATGAAACATTGATCAAACCTATATAATAAGTATTTATATGAAACATTATTTATTAAAGTACAGGAAACGTCTTTTGTTTTATTGCCCATCAAATCACGTTTTAAAGCATTGTAAAATGTCAAGAAACAACAAAAATAAAGGTTCGTGTTGAAAAATAATAAATTGTGACATTTCTCAAATAATAGTCTATGCTGTATCAACTTAACCTTTACAAGGCAGAATTAAAGGTAACATGTACTTTGGGTGACGTTCTTGTGTTTTTTTGCTGTATATCATATATGTTTTTGTTTGTTGTTTTGTACATAAATCAGGCTATTGGTGTTCGCGTTTTAACTGTTTTACATCTTGTAATGTCAGGGTCTATTATGTACAAAAATAAGAAAATGGGGTATGATTGCCAATGTGACAATTCTCCGCCAACTATATGTCACCGTACGGCCTTCAACAATGAGCAAAACCCATACCGCATAGTCAGCTATATAGTTTGTTTTTGGGGTTGGGTTTTAAAGGCCGTACGTTGACTTAAGTTTGCCAACAGCTACGTCATTTTGGTCACTAGTGGATAGTTGTC